TAGCTTAGCCGCTTGAAATTAAAGGAGGTGGAGAGGTTCAAGGCCGTTACAATTATGCAGTCGGCTCCACGACCGTATTCATTTGACTTCGTATTATGATGGCCCCAACGAATCATACCTCGTTGGGCCTTTTTTCGGTATAAAGATGGAAGAAGTCGTATAGCTATCAACTACTAAAGGTCTTAAAACAAGTCTAAACCCCAGCACAGATCTCGAGACTGGGCCAAAGTGTTCAAATGTTGGTGAGCCGCTCCACTCAACTCAGGCGGGGGTGTTGAAAGGTAAGGTGCATGCACATGAATGCATATTTATTTCATGAGTGTAAATGCATACAAGAGGACAATCGGAGGCGACAAACAAAAAGCATAGCACACGACCAAAGGGCTTATGCTTTTCGGCGGAATGAGCAGCCTAAAGAATCGATGAGTAAGCTTATTCAAACGTATGCTGATTATGATCGTGGATAGATAAGGAGATGGACTGACCTTCCGTTAGCCTGGCCTTGCCACCGGTGGGTTGACATAGAACAGTAGAACATGAGCTGCAGAGCACTACTGTCTGTGCATGGGAGAACACAGTTGTGATCGCAAAGCATCCTATCAAGCATCGAATATTAGTAAGTGCAACGAGCAAGCGAAGGGCACATGAATCTAATTACCTGGGCATTTAACATCCATGAAGTATGAGTTTGGCGATTGAACAAGTCGCTTTAGCTTGTGTCTTGATTTTTCAGCCTCAAGAGAGGGGTTAAGGAGGTCAACGGCGAGCGTCTAGAGATCGTTTATAGGATTAGATAGAGGGTTGGAATCACAGAATAAGTATCAGCATTGTTCATTGAATTTGAAGGAAGAAATTCTGACCATTTTTTGGTCTTAATTGGCGACTTGAGGTGGATGGGTAATGGAGGGAAACAGGATAAGGTTGGTTTGGTGACTTCGACCCCGCTCAGATCCTCGGGGCCGTGTAGGCCACAACATAATCCTCGAGACTCACTCGAATATTCCATTTTTTCTTCTGATTCAAACTCAACATCATTCAACTATATTCAGCGAGTACCTGCTACTTTCGAGAACTGGTACATGCATTTTAATTTACCTGTATTGTCTACTCGCGCAGGTTTGTGTTTTCTGTTCACCGATATCTTTTCTGATATAACCTGGTCAATAGGGTTCGCAAACTCCTCTGTCCGCAGGCTCAACAAACTCCGATTCGCGACGCGTTTAGTCGAACTACATTGCTCTCGTGAGTAAATTTTGCCTGTTGGTCACGTCCATTCAAACTATGATAGACCATAAACATGACCTAAACGCTCTGCGCAAAACCCGCAGATAT